TCTTAACGCGTATTCAACTTTCTTCCATTGCTAGAGATATTGTTTCACTGTTCTTTTTACTATCGGAATTGTCGGATATAGAGTCCAAGTTACACCTAAGCAAATTTGCGATACGTCTTGATGAATATTAATAATATTAATATTTTTTTTGTTATTTAAGGTCTCATCAACTTCTAGGTCATTAGCTGGTCATAGCATGGTAACTGTGAGGATGACACAATATGATTATGATAGGGAGTGAAAAGACGAACACAATTCAACCATGTTCGAGGCGGGACTCGGTCCGAGATCGATACGCTACTACTGCCTTAGCGATCTCGGCCGCCGGATTGGCATATTATTCTTGTTGATGTCCAAAATACGGGATCTGGCAATACCTTCTATTACTACTATACCTTGTATTTATACTAGTAATAGATAGTATTTATTTATGTATTTACGTCAAAAACAGTTAAAAACTGTGTGTGACGTGTTATGGCGAGAAGTTAATTTGAAGTTAAATTTATGTCCAGAAGCAAAACAAGGATCCATCTCAGCATTTGCTCAAAGATCAGAGAAAATGGACGAAAAGCGATCAAGATGAGGACCATTGACCCAGAAGCTTAATTGCAATAATTGTTGGAGATTCTTTAGAATTATACAATCCAAATGGAAAATAATACATTAAATGACATTGTTAAAATTAATATTACACTCCTTTTGAATGATCGGTATAGTATCTAATTGTATCGAAACAGTTGTGCAGCGGAAAATATTTTATTTGAGTCTTAAACTTTTGCATCTAATTTAGTCGTTTTGTGTCATCTGGCAAGGTATTGTAAAATAATGTACATGTATTATATGTAAATGTTTTGTAGAGAGTTGTTGATACTATCAGCTGATGAATGTGATTGCAATGTCGAGTGTAGTTATAGACAACGGCGTTTGCTGAAAATATATTTTCGTCCTTAAATAAATCATTTTAGACGAAAATCACTGATGAAGAGACAAGTTAATGGTAAAATACTTAGATTAATAAAGAGAGGCTTACAAGAATCACGTGCGTGGGATTTACTTATTATTCGTACAATTATTTTTGCAATCTAAAAGTCTGCGAGCTATATGATGTATTTTCCCAGAATATTATACCATATTAATGTTAAGATACAGGTTTTGGAGTCATGTTCCAAAGAGTTAGCGTAACAATGCTTCGAAGAATTGCTGGAAAGTTTTTAGTTTGGCACCAAATCAGCTCCCAACACTACCAATTGAATATCACTATTAGATCACCGCTAGGAACCGACACTTCGACAGTTTCAATCACAATTAGACGTCAGTTGACTCAACAAATATAAGATGTGATTATGACGTGAATCGTCGGAGGAATTTTACTATTGATAGGTCTATTGCATGTGTGCTAAGGATCTTAGGATTTTTCGCTCTTCAAAAATCCTACCACCTACTAAATTTCAAACCGAGAACTCGGATTTTAGAAACCTGTGGGTTAATCGCCAGTAAAATGGTGCTGAGTGTATGGATTTATGTTAAACCGAGCAACTTAATACAATACCAATTACCCTTTCATTAGTTCTGTGACTCTAGTCGAAAGTTCCCTGTTAAATAACCTTATTACTCGGAGTTTATTGGCAATTTTGAAGCAATAAATGGTTATTTAAATGACTTAATGAAATCCTTGATGGGTTGATTTATCACTGTATTGTAACAGGAGCCTGTGCTAGTCACACGCATACACCTACTTGGTTCGAAAACTGCTCTAACGTCTTCAACTCCCTCGCGCTGGTCTAACACAGATACCTCGTTAAACGACCTCTGCAAATATTAACTATTTGGCAGATATTTACGGTGAAATATCTATGTCCATCATTGTAAATGCATATTGATTCAAATAATACAGCAAGCTGGCAATAGATAAAGTAATTTGCAATTACTTCACCTTATCAGAAATAACTCATATTGTAAGAAACTTTTCGAAAAGGCGAAACTGATTCATTTCCATGTTTGCGATTTGAATATTACGAAAACAGGTTATGGGTTTCAAAGACGAAATAAAGGATAAATAAACTTATTTTACATCGAGCAGCCAGACTGCTCGCGGACACCCCCAAATCAAAATTTGTGGTCGACAAAAAGGGTGCGGCAGCTGTTCTCCGGGTCTTCTCGTTTCCCCTGCCTCCCATTCCACTATTTGCTGTATCATTATCTATGTCGTATCTTAATCCCTCATCCATTTCTAACTTGAACCACAAGACGTAGACTCTAGAGCAATAATAAAAATACACCGAGATTTTTATCATTAGCGACGTTAGGAATGCTGATATAAAAGTAATTGAGATTATATTTTCCCAATGCTCGTTGTTCGTCATCACTTTTTACTTGACACGTGTAAGACACTCTGCAAACGTAAGGATTCTTATTCCATGACAAATACATTGATTGCCTTCTACATAAATCATTATAGTTCTGGAGGGGACAATCGTGGCTTTTGCTCAGGTTCTGTAATTTGAAACAAATATACAACACTTATGGAAAGTTTACTTTTAAAGACAAAACTTTCAATATCGTTTTTAAACCTAGCTAATAGTTTGTTTTTGTCAATTTACAAAACACATCTTATTCTCACTGATTTACTGATGCGGTCCTCGACTGTGGCTTTCAAGTCAATGTACTATGAGTACTGGGTGCTATGTGATATTGAAGTGATACAGATATATAGTATACTATGTGATATTTTCTCAAAGTACGAATAATTCGTAGATAATTACTGAAAGTATGAGCTTCAAAATGTTTACCTGTGAATTAAATAATCTTCTTCCTCTCTACTGTAGAATTTCCACAGTAGGTGAAAGGTAGGTCACAGTAGGTGTCACAAATTTGGTGCTAAATGAAGAACTGATTCGAAGTATATTTTTGCTAGAAAAATCTTCCATATTTTCCGAAATAGTTTCGCATACACTCACATACGTCAACATTCGTACAAGACGATCCCTGGCATCTGTCTCGACGCGAAAGAAATCACGATCAAATGACGAAAGGAACAATCTGGCCAACATCTGACGTTATTTCACAGGAGAATAATCCGGATATCGCGCTTCACGGACTTGGTTCCGAAATTTTCCTAGATCCCATCGCTTCTCCATAAAACATGAGAAAGTAAAAAGTGAAACACGACGGGTGCCGCGCCAGAAGCGGCGGGAGGCTGTGCGAGGCGGACGGCCGTCACTCAACCGTCTTGCTCCTTCCCGGCCCGCCCCGCTCCGCGAATCTGCTTCCGGCAGGATTCGTATCAAAGTTTAAAACAAAGATAAAATATAGTTCATTAATCCATATTATTATTATAATGAATAATATTGATTATCATTATTATTACTATTATTCCACGTCACGACTAAAGATGTGATGAGTGGGTTGAATATAAAATTTGCTCCAGAGTGCAACCAGCTTTCTAAGGAGCATATCTAGGGACGGTTCTTATAAGAAGCTGGTATTACGAAAAGTATTGATTGACACGAGGACGATATCACAAATAACATACTTGGTTGGCTATAAACCTTTGCTGTCGCCTCGGTTTACGAACTACAACCGCGTTTGTTATTTGGTGTTTATCGGCCTAATGACTTACATAACCGTAACAGCCCTTGCATGAGAATGTAATTTTGTTAATTTCTTAATTCACTTGTTCTGGATATTATTAATACCGAGTGATTTTGCAGTTTCCAATCTTTTTAATTGCTTTGAAGAGGTCCTCTTTCGAGAATTCGTGAACACGTTCAAGTGGTTTCATAAGTTCACCGGCAGCACCAACTTCAGTTTGGATCCAAGATGCGTCTAGTATTGTCCTGATAGACATATCCCAGTGTTACCCTCTAGTAGCCAAATAAAGACCTCTTTATCTCATCAGTTAAGAGGCTGGTTACCGCAAACGTGGAGTGAGTTACCGACACAACAGGGCTCCCCGCGTAAGGGTAAGAGTGGAGTTGGATGAGAGAGATTTTTTGCATTCCACATCACATCCCTTGGATCTCATACGATTATTATTATAATATTATTATTATTATTTGCCATTTTACTGTGTAATAACTAGTGCTGCTACAGAATGATACAGTTTTCCCGTATTAGTTTTCTAATTCCTTTGGTCTCGGTTAGCTATTCGAACGAAAGGATAAGTGAATGAAACCAGTGGTGCTACAACAGCACATATGTATGGAGTTCGCATTACTTCTAAAATTGTAATTATTACCAATTTAGTGTTGAACGAAAATAAGACCTGCGCCATTCTTTTAAGCGTTTCTTATTCTATTCGAGGAAAAAATGACAAATTTTGGAGCGTTTTTTGAGAAAATGCCTTTTTATATATTGCATTAATTTCAAGCACAAATTACGTAAAAAGTACTCTTTTTGAATTGTACCTGACCGTTTTTAAAGAACTGATTTTTAAGACAGATTTTCAGAAATCCAAAAGAATTGCAAGAAATGCTGTGCTAGTAATAGACTTTCTAGTGCTTAAACCAGTATATAGATACTAAATTTGTCAATGAAATTTTAAGTAGATTAAAATTAGAGAACGTATGTCATGCATTTTGAATTAAATGTTAATTCCCAGCTCTTTGAAATACGTGAAAGTCAATTATGTTTTATCATATATATAAAGTAACATTTATTGAGTTTACCTTTTTCACAGACTAATAGTTTTCTTTGACAGAATAGAATTGTGTTTATCGTATTCACATTGTGTACTTGTAGATTAGTATAACAACGATGCGATTACTACTAGTGAGAGGAAGCGGAAGTCTCTTTATGGTGAAGGACTTACGAGAAAGGCAACGAGTGAATTTGTAGTTCAGAGCAGTGTGATTGAAACCTTCATTGGCCAAGGAATGGATTCATAGGATAAGATGAATTTATTTGTTGCGTTCTTGAGGGTATATTGAGAACAAGGGAAAAGGGGTCCTGTTTAAAAGAGAGGAAGAAATGCATTAAATTTTGAAACAAAAATGTTCAAATATATTTTTTAATCCTTTAATTGCTTCATGCTCTAACTATTTAAAAATAAAGAAAAAGCACACGTGAAGAACAATTCCATCGGGCTGTTGGCGCGGCTAGCATTTGAGTGGGGTGAGTGGGGCTAGGCTTTGAGGAAGTGCTCGTACTTGGCCCTGAACTCGCCCGTGGGGTCGTACTTGTTGACGATGGAGGTCCACTCCTGCGGCTTGTGCTCGCGCAGGAAGCGGATGACGTAGCGCGCGAGCTCCTTCTGCTTGTCGGTGCAGCGCTCGCAGCCCGTGCGGATGGCCTCGGGCAGGTACTGGTGCAGGAGCTCCGCCTCCTGCGACAAAACACGCGCGTTACGCTCCTTCAGCGCTCACCAGCAAGCCTGGCTGGCGCCGCTTGCAAGGCAATTGCTGCTGCGCTTGCTCTCCCTCAAGAGAGCTCGGTGTGGAAACAATACTGTGGGCAAGGATTTGCAACCGGTGCAAGCCAGGCTCGCCAGCAGATCTTGAGAATCATCACATGCTTTCAGTACGCTTTGTACGCGTTACGCTCCTTCGACGCTCACCAGCAAGCCTGGCTTGCGCCGCTTGCAAGGCCGACAGTTTATTCCTGTCGTCTACGTGGAACACCACGCGTTTTGTCCCAAGGAATCTCAAGTAACATAAAGTTTGAAACGGAAGCAAGCAGGCGCGTGTCGCCGCTGACAGTTGCTGCTGTGCTTCCTCAATAGCTGGGTGTGGAAACAATATTGTGTGTATGGGTTTGTAACCGGCGCGAGCCAAGATTGCTAGCAGATCTTGAAAGGGAAGAACTGCTTCAAATATAATGTCATCCTTGCTTTGCGAAAAAACTAAATAATATAGAGTCGACTCCCGTTATAGTGAACTCGGATATAATGAACCCTGGGTTATACGTCGGTGGTACCGTTTCACTTACATCACAAATAAGCATTAAACTATTTGGTTATAGTGAACTCTTAACCTCAGCTAGTGTGAACTTAGGAAATACGTCCTGGAAATTAATTCCCTCCTGGAGAAAATGTATCACCAAAGTGCCTCAAATTCAAAAAACTGGGCTGTTTGGAAAAATATGGTCGGTCGGTGGTCGAAAGTCTTCTCTGAGGTGGAGATAACGTACCCAAAATGCCGACCTTACTGATTACGACGTGCCACTCAGTTTCACTGCGGAAACAAAGGCTGTGTCCTGCGTGAACTACAACTGGCAGCGGCGACGCGCGACTGCTTGCTTGAGTTTCACACTTAATGTTACTTGAGATTCCGCGGAACAAACCGCGTTGTGTTCTACGTATGCGACAGAAAGTCTGTCACAGCCCCACTCTCACTGCGCCGCGCGGAAAAGCGATCATATTCATTTGATCCATGCCGTTACCGAAAATATCTTGATGTTATTAGGCGAATAAAAGGGCCATCGGAAAGTGGGATGGTGTTCAAGCAGCGCAAGAGGCATTGAAGGATTGAAGGGTGTTAAGACTGCATTATAATACTAAGAGACAGTGGAAAATGCAGAATCAATTATTGAGACAGCGCGCATTCTGGAGAAATTATCGAGGAAATTACGAGTATTAATGAAAACTGTATAACATAAGCAAGCAAATGCAAATAATTGCTTTTTTATGTCAAGTTCAGATACTGAAATTTTCAATTCGTAATGAATTTCCCTACGTCTCTATATTAATAAATTCAATAATAGTGGGGAAATTATATTTAATTTTTACATCTAATGTAGTGAACTTCTGATATAGTTACCCACAAATTTTATTCTCTGAAGTTCACAATATTCGGAGTCAACTGTATGTTTAATCTCTTTTATTCGTTTGTTTGAATAATGTATATGTTTAAACGATTTTGAAACCTCTTCTTGAAAATTATTTATTCATAGTGTCTTGTCTTGAATGTCTTGTCAATATGTAATTGTGTATTATTAGACATTAGAAGTACATTTAATATGACACATTTTCTTTTAAAAAATGCTATGAGTATATTTTGAACGAAATCTCCAATATTACATTGTTAGATCTCCGAAAAAACTTAAATTTAGGTCTCTACTTTGTTAAGAATTATCTATTAATGTGGATATTCTTACCTTATTGGAACATGGAGTGTCCTGAAGGGCGCACTTGATGTACACCACCAATACTCGGTCGTTCTTGAGTACGTCGTCGATTGGATAGTTGTCCCATTGGTCCGGGTACTTCTCCACCGCCATCACAGTCGCGACGGCCAAGCACAGAAACACGAGTGTCTTCATGTTGCTGAATGATGAGGATTTGACTGTCTGCTCGAGCTGAATGCTTATGCTCCCTAAAAGACACGTTTATATATCCTGTCATGGGATCTCAAATATTTCCTAAGATGCTACATTTAGACGTCGTTAACGGTTGCATTTTGTATTTGAAACATGTAAGCGGTTCTGAAGATAGGATTATAATGGTTTACAACCTTAACGATCTAATTTCTCAAGATGAAGATTGAGAGCTTCTGTAATACCAGTTAAAACAATGCGACTTTAACGATACGAGCAGTTACCGATAACCTGATGAGGTCATTCTAAGAATGTTCTTCTCGAGAGGAAAAATATATAGAGCTGAAAATTACTCAATGGAATTGGGTGAATATGCAACATCAACGTACAGGGTCGTAAAGTTTGTAATTCGTAATCCTGGATCCACGATGAGTACTCTGGGGTCATTTTCAAGTTCATGGCCATTACCATAGTCGTATTGTCGATATTTGTTTTCATGATACATTTGCCAACCTATAGCTCTTGCAACATCCAATTTCTGCAATATACATAAATCTCACACCTATGTATTCAAACATCTACTCAATCCCATTTTCATTATCAATTCTCATCATGTCCATATCAATAAGGCTAATTATCATACAGTCGTTATTGTTTCTAATACATCAATACTTTCTCATATCTAAAACTAACTTGGATAATCCCCCTCTTCTATTAATTTATTTATGTAATGTGAAAATTATCAGGCAAAAACGTATGCGGGGTAAGTGTGTGAAATGTTACATTTACAAAACTATTATTAATTTTATGATCAACTACATTATTGCAGGTGGATTTTTGGGGGAATTGCATATCGTTGGGAAAGGGGTAAATGGTCACAGATCTTCCACTCATGTAATCTCCCAACTGACGTACTGAACATTCTTCCCTTACTTCCTGAATCTACCTCTTCTCTTGCTCATCATCCACGTTTCTCATTACTGTATTTTTCCGCCTCTCAAATCCTGAAACCGCTTTCCCCTTTCATCAACACTTCATCTTATTTCTTCCTTCGTTCCCTTCTTCATTCGCTTCGGATCTCGCTCTCGCTGCTTTCACGCCCCTCTCTTGTTGATTCTGTGCCCACTGCTGTCACTATTGTCGCTCATCTTCACTGTCAATGCATGACCCTTGTCCCTCCCCTACAGCTCAGGCTTGTGCGTGGGGTGTTCAGCAGTTACCTTCCAGAGGCGAAAAACGTGACGACGCTGAAAAACTACATTAACATTACTTCAGGATGCTGAGCGGGATGTTGATTAATTACCCCGTCATTGTATTATTTTGTGTGTTTCTTTTAATTTAGAGGTTTGTTTTTTTTACGAGTAGAAAGTTAGAAGACTATACGAAAGTTTCTTTTAAAGTTTATTAGAATAAAGTTCAATAATTTGGAGTAATATTTTTCCTCAAAGATGGTTATAATTTATTGAAATCTCTTACGGTGTAAAGGTTCTAGATGATTTGAGGCAGTTGGATGCTACGTAAGTTAGAATGTGTATATATTTTAATTTTCCTCCATTCATTTCTTACATTGAAGCTTTTGTTATACTAGTTAACAAACCACATTACTTTGTTTAAAAAATTAATCCTTTAGAAATTATTTGAAACTTATTTTAACTAAATATGAAATAACGATTGCTAGCCTTCAGTCGCCGCTCCCAATTTACTCACTTGTATGCTACGCTATTTAGAATTTCTATTATTTCATATTTCATTTTAATATAATTATTTATATTACAGTTATGTTACTTCATTTTAAATCTCGTCACAGTTCAAAATTATTTTGTAAAAACAAACAAAACAAGGAATGATATAAAATATAATAAAAACATGTTCGACACGGGAGGACAACCCTGAAGAGATAAGACCGTGGCAGAGGATTCGAAATTAGGCGTATGGGAGGGCTGCGTGCACGAAATCTGGTAACGACCTTTACGATACATACATTGTTTTATTCCGAAAACGCAGTGTGACGACTACAACAAATAACTGAGGACCTCAATTGGATTCCTGCATGGTTCGTGCAACAATAGAAAACAGCACAAAATTTCACCTCGGAATCTCTTCAGGACCCCCCTAATATCGATTTGCATTCCCGTAGAAGCCAACCGTTAGAAATCTACTTGTATTATTGAAAACAAAGGAAAGTTATAAATATAAAAGGAACTCAAATTTAATAAAAAGCAAATAGAACTGTGTTCTACTGTTCTTTATATTGAATTATTTGTTGACGGAAGAATGACTTCGTCTCGTTATTTTTCATAGGTTACCCCCTGTTAAAACAGATATTTCTTTAAAACAATATTAAACACTTGTAGAAATGAATATAACTTGCAGACAAATGGACCGAAATAGGAAAAAAGGGTAGGATTTTTTTAAATCTCAAACTCTTAATGTATTTTCTTAAAACAATAGCATATAATATTACATCTTCCTCATAATACTGGTTTTACAATACTTTTCGAATTATTACAATTTACTTTAATTTGTACCTTGTATAAAAATAAAGACACATTAAATATCTATTAAACAACAACTTGCTCATAAGCAATAACAATTATTACTTTGCAGCTATATACAGAAAACTCCATTATACACAGGATTCTCGATCATGATAACAAATTCCTGACTCTATCAAGTCAATAAAACAACTATTGAAGGCACTGACAAGATCAGTACCGTCAGTAAGCGTCCCAAATGGGTTAATAACAAATGCACACGGCACCAGAGACGTCACACGAGCTCCCACCAACTCCCGTGTTGCAAAAAGCCACCATGGACGAAACAATTCCCGGATATCAGCCGAATTATCACCAGCAACCAAGTCATCTGCACAGTATACCTGAAGCATGGTCTTTTGGCTCCGGATCGACCTGTTAAAAAATAAAAAATAAACATGAATTTCTTAAAAATAACTAAACGTTTGGTTAATTATGAAAATGAAACAAAATTACGCAAAACGGGGTTTATAACAGCAGGTTTAGGATTCAACTTTTGTGAAAAATTTGTGCATTGAATCAACTGAATCTTTAACAACCATTTTAATAAATGTATGAAAAATTGTAGGAGTGATAAGGGTGCTTTTTCACAGATTTCAAATAAAAATTTCATAAAAGTTCTCTTCTGTAAAGAGGGAGTGAAATTACACTTTAGGGGGTGTTTTGCAAAAATCATCAACTATACTTTATTTGACGGTATTAAGGTAAAATATTGAAGGTTGAAATGCAATGGGTCAAACAAACCGCTAATCTCACAAACTATTTCACCCACGAATCTATTACTTCACAAAGTTTCTTATAGATACGTGGGAATCCGTATACAAAATATCGCCAAAATCCATGCAGAACGCACGGGACACTCACCCATTATTATACCAATGTATAAACGATAATACGAAAATCAAGTGAATTATTCTTAAAGTAAATTACCAATAGCCTAGACAAAATGCTTCCCATTTCTTCATCTATGGTTAGTAAAGAACGTGTATAATTCCTATCACAACAGTTCCATTTGGAACTGACTCAAAATACCTTTCCATATTTGTTTGCTTTTTACTTTTTTGAGGAAACGCAATGCTTATATTCTTATCTATTTTTGCATGCGAAGTTTTACCAACCACTTTAATGGCTTTCAATACTAACATTGTGTGGTTTTTTCACTCCAAAGAATGCAATGTACCCATTCACAGAGTACCACTTGATGCGACATGACAGGCGAAACGTCGGCCTCTCTGATAACGTTGCGCATCACCCGGACGGCCAAGAAGTCATAAATTCTTTCTTACCACTTGATGTGACATGACAGGCGAAACGTCGGCCTCTCAGACAACGACGCGTTGGCAGTCAGGAAGACATCAATTCTTTCTTACCACTTGGTGCAACATGACAGGTGAAACGTCTGCCTCTCTGCCAACGTTGCGCGTCACCCGGACAGAGAAGAAGTCATCAATTCTCTCTTACCACTTGATGTGACATGACAGGCAAAACGTCGGCCTCTCAGCCAACGTCGCGCATCATCCAGACAGCCAAGAAGCCATCATTTCTTTCTTTCCACTTGATGCGACATGACAGGCGAAACGTCTGCCTCTCAGCCAACGTCACCCGGACAGACAAGAAGTCATCAATTCTGTCTTCTGGATGCGACATGACTGTCGAAATGTCGGCCTCTCAGCCAACGTTGCGCGTCACCCGGACAGCCAAGAAGCTGCCAATTCTTTCTTACCACTTGATGCGACATGACAGGCGAAGGCCTCTCAATCAACGACACGCGTCACCCGGACAGACAAGAAGCCATCATTTCTTTCTTACCTCTTGATGTGACATGACATGCGAAATGTTCCGCCAATGCTCTCAGCCAACGACGCGCGTCACCCGGACAGCCAAGACACCCGGACACCAATTCTCACTTACCACTTGATACATCAACCAAAAAAACACCCCAAACGTTCGTTTCTTCTCTATATCCTTACCGTGTGCGTGCGGGGGCATCTCGTGCGCCGAGGGCGGCGAGGGCGGCGGGGGCGGCGGCGGAGCGGGCGCGGGGCGCAGCGGGAGGCGGACGGTGACGCTGTCGCTGCTGACGGGGAACTCGCCGGCGACGAGCAGCACGCAGCGCAGGCCCAGCTCCCCGGCGGGCGACACGTGGCGCGGGCCCGGCGCCAGCCGCAGCGCCGCGCCGCCCTCCCACTCGCGCACCAGCGACGCCGGCGCCTGCGCAGAAACCCCGCCGCTCGTGGCTCGCCGCGCGCGAAGGCCCTCGGGTGCTCGTCGACGACCCGGAAGAACCTACTACATAGAGTGGCTGTCCCTAAGGTTTCAGCGCTCTCGGTGGACGTTCACCGAACTAAATGCCGCCATTTTTTTGAAGTCAAAATACGAGAAGTGGCGTGTGGAACAGTTGGACTGATTGGGTGAAACCACACCATCTCACAATAGTAAAGAAAACACACGCGCTCAGGCGAGATTCGAACCCAGAATCACCGCAGTTCACGGCTACCGCCATTACCACTACGCTTCACCAATGGAGTCATTTCGACCTTCTGTTAATGAGAACCAAGGAGTTAGAATATACAACATGACTGAAACAGTTCGACAATTAATGTGTTGCTTGTATCAGATCTTATTTGTATATTTTTGTGTTTTCGTTTATATGCATTTAAATGATATTAGTGGTTAGAATAATAATATTCACAATGCCTGCGGTATGTTCGGCATATAACTGTAAAAATAGAAGTCATCAAACTACAAATATGTAATTTTTCAAGTTTGCCGCGTTATTTGTGATCTCTGGGTTTGCTTCTTATTAGAATAACATTCACTTTCAGTCGTTGTGTTAACTATAATAACATATCAACAGCTGCCATTCTTATGACAATAATTGATGCACGAAGCAATGTGATTTTAAAGTTTCCGAATTCGTTCTCCTTACATGTTGTGATTCGTTTTTAAATGATTGGTTTTTGGTCGTAAAACACAGAGTAAGAAGATTTATATTATATGCGGCCCACGCGCGCCAGGCCTCAACCAGAGGAATACTAGAACCACTGTTTCTCCAGAGATCACGGCTTTGACTGCAAAATCATGGCTCTAATTTGCTACAAAGATGGAGGCACTTCAGCCACTCTATGTAGTGTATTCCAACTTCTTGGTTCTCGTTAACAATAGGTCTAAATGAGTCCACTAGAGAAGCGTAGTGGTTACGGCGGGAGCCGCGAACAGCGGATTCGAATCCTGCCTGTGCGCGGATGTTTGCTTCACTAATGTGAGATGTGGGGTTTGACCCAACCACCTTGTATCACTTTAAATACTCGACTTCTTGCCAGATTCCTCCCATCCTGAATGTTGTTAGTATGTGACGGATGAATGTGACTGCCTTCGTGTCAGAGGGAGAATGCCCCAAAATAGGCATAAGGGCCACAATGTGAGCGCCACCTGGCCGCCAACAAACCCCCCTTTCTGTGAAGGGTTCATGTACCGCCACGGGCTTCTGAGCCAAGAGCGGCAGCTCGGCCGCAACGGGCTTACGAGACACTGCGGAATCAGTGTGTGGAGTCTAGAGACAAGGGACTCGAGGGTCAAAAAAGGCAGTGGTATTAATTGAGGGCAGGGAGCGTCAGGGATAATCGAAAGGTTAAGTTGACGTAAAATGCCAGATGATGATCACGTTCAGTCCACTCGAGAAACTGTAAAAAATATATAATTTATTTAAATATACGGAGCTGTCCAAATTAAATAGACAATTCCTTGACTTAACTCATTATGTGTCCTGGGAAGCATTTGATAAAAGTAAGATTTGAAGTGTTATGTCTGTTCATGGAACTGAAATCCTATACATAGTTAATAGTATGATGAGGTACAAACAATACATAGAGTTCCTAAAGAACCAATGGTTCTTTCATATAAATGATTGGTTTGGAAAAAATCAACGCATGTTCATACATGACTACGCTCCATTCCCCAATAGGAAATTTGGAAAATATATAAGACGTTGACTGCCTGTGCTCCAATGGTCTAGAAATTGCCCTGAAGTGAACTCCATTGAAAATGTTCGACATATAGTTAAAAGAAAATGAAAAAAAGAAGACCATACCCCATAAAATCGCTCATTCGCATCTGGTAAAATGACTGAAATTCAACGAATGAATTAAAAATTGATTTTCAACATTCTTCACAACATAAATGTTAATTACGAATTAGATCATGTTTATAAAACATTATAAATATACATGTACAGTTTACTGTTAAGATCTATGGTCGCAAATATACCTTTGTTTCATCCAATAACTCTATTCTAAAAAATTAACATTTCTATCTCTCATCTTCTATATAAATAAAACTGGAGTAACTGTGACTTTAAACACCTATCTTTCTGTCATCAATATACGTACTTAGATGCTATAAATTCACTTCAATTGTTTTTACGATTTTTGTCTGTCTGTTTGTTTGAGGTAATCTCTGGAACTACTGATCCGATTTCGATGAAATTTTCACAGGAAAGAGAGTTTGCCGGAAATAAAGCGAGCTATTTGGGGGGGGGGATTTTATCTTTTCTTTCGCAAAGTGGATGGTGGTTTGTTTGTTATTTATTCAAATCTACGGTTTTACTCCCAGTTTAATGTACGTTTGTACACATGATCTTCAAAATAAGAGAAATGTTACTGTCTGCATGAATTTCGTAAAACTAACACTATTCTTTTATATCTTACAAAGCAAAATGTGAGCGTCCACGTTTTCAGCTTTCCGTGAATGTGTTGAAAACGGTTCATTAAGTGACCTAAAGCGAATTAAAACTTTTCTTACGGTCACACAGTCCCCTGCAAAATGAATTTTGATTCATTTCGATTACGCACTTAGGCTTGGAGTAATTGAGATCTAAATTTTTACTGGAAGCTTGCAAGTAGAATACAAAGATATAGCTGTCCATAACAACAAAGGTGGTAGCAACGATGAATTCGTAGCAAACAAGGCAGGGCGGAGGTGAACGGGAAAGGTCATGCATAGTGGTGGCGCGGGGCGGGGTGATAGGGACGAGGAGCTGGGCGGTTGGGACGGGAAAGAGAATAGAGCAGAGTGTGTGAGAGGGGACGTGAGGATGATAGGGCGGGCGCAAACTATAGCAATTCAATTCATTCATTTTCTGTAATATACAACTGTGATTATTTAAAAGCCAAGCAACGCGGGCTCTTCGGCTAACAAATAATGCAGAACATTAATAATTTATATGTAGTAAATAAATGCGTAGTAAATATATTTGATAATAAAAAAAATACTCTTAGATATTAAAACCATCGATGCTACAACAGTGCATTCTGTCTCTACATAGTGATAACGGTTGTATAATATTATAATTTAGGTAAAATGGTACAATTCACAAACTACTACGCCTACAAAACTAGTAATTATGGTAACAATAATGATAATGTTGCAATGTCTCTCTTAATCTTCAGCCATTACTTGAAAAACATTTAACCAAACGAAGAGCAAGAAGTACGTAGTTTAGTTTATGGTGGATAAATTCAAAAGTTTACATGAAATTAGTTTTTCGTCATTAAATTCAGTGCATTAATACATTGAGTACATTTAAGTACGTGAAATGATGACCATCAATTCTGACAGACGCGCACTTAACCGTACATAAAATTTTAGTTTATAGTAGGCGTCGCTAACCGAATTCCTGAACTACGTTCTGTGAAACTAAGGAGGTTAAGCAATTCGAGTTATCGCAAGTTCCTGGTCGGGTGACCGACTGGTTTCCCAGGACCTAACAGGGCTGAGTCCCTAGCCGAAGGGATAATAGGCAACGACTGACTACGACTAACGATGAGTGACTAAAATTAACGAAGGATTACTCCAAAGCGTTCCACGCCAGTATGTGGCCAAAACAAACAACGTAGTTACGAATTGCAACAGAACTTTAAATAATAGTAATAATAGTAATAATAATTATTATAATAATAATTATAATAATAAGTATTATAATTATAATAATAATAATTATAATAATTATAATACGATGTGGAAATATAATACAATCATTATTATTGTTATTATTATTATTAAATAATGTAATATTCCTAAAACTGATGATTCTAATACAGAATGTACGTTATTTTCCTTTTCTACGCATGCAATGCTTTAATACGTTTCCCGTTCCTTTTTACACTTAGGACAATTCTCTAATGACTCGCAATAAGTACACTGTAGAATGTTTTGGTTATCATCTAAAGAACTAATTTCCAATACGCGCAGTTGTGCATCATTCGGGCAAGTGAGAAGTGCTTACGGTTTCTCTAGATAACCAGGTACTTGTGGAGATCCAAAAACAATGAAAAAGTGTCAATTTTGACTTAATAATGCTAATATACTGCATATTAAATATTTGGTATTTATGTGTGTTGTTATGAAATATCAGTTTTCCATATATTATTGGTATGTAAACACACGTTGTACACGTTATACACGTTATGTTATATGTTGTTGCAGTTATATTATGTGTTATGTTATATGCAGTGAAGATTGTTTTATTAAAATATTTCATTTATTATTCTGTTATACGAAAGTATTTTTTGTTGCTTTTTCCAAAGCACTGTGCGTGCTATTTTTTGGAAACCATGTCGGGTGAATTTCTTCAGAAGCATTTTTCCTGCTGACGTCCTCTAATAACATGGTTTGGTTTATTTTATTCCCACAACATCGATCATAGTTCAAAATTAAAAAAACTTTAAAATACATGTAGTTTTATTAGTTGAATAATAATATCATCATTCTTGGAGGTGTCCAGCTCAAAATATTAAATTGGGTATTTGCAATATTTTTTTCATTCAAAATATAGTTTCTCATTTATGGAATGACAGTTAAAAAGTCAAAAATATTTCGATATAAAATGACGCTCAACGATGACTGTAAACGTAAATGTGAAAACATACGTTCATTGACAGAATAACGCACCGACACAATAAATATATAAATTATTGACATAAGTGAGGAGGAGAACATGGTTGCGATTCTCGCGATCTGCACTGGCGTGAGAATGTCTTCGGGCACGGACGAAATATTCTGTAAAGTAATTTATGAGCAACAATATTGAGTAATGTCATTCACACTCTTATAGTCTGCATTTGTTTTTGCCTATCGAAATTACGTCATCTTTTTTGGATGAAGCTGAGGTTCACGACTGTGTGATGCACTCAAACCACTTTAACGTAAAACAT